AAGGAAGATGCAAGCGGTTTGGGATCTTGAACAAGGAAAATATGGTTTTGGTATGTTTACTTACAGTATTTTTTTTTCCTCTTTCTCTCCTCTCTCACTTTTCTCCTTGTGCTGTGTGGGGTTGGGGATGACTTGGGGGCTTTGCAGATAATCGGTTTGTTAATGTGTTGAAATGCCTAAGACTGTGGTTTAAGGGGCTTGGGGAAGGGGCAACAGAGTCAATTCAGTGCATTGCCATATTTTATTACATGTGTGTGGTAGGAGAGGTGGTAGAGGGAAAAGGAGGGGGGGAATACAATTGCAAAGCTGCCAAAATGTGATTAAACCTAAGCATAAAGGCTGCCGTGCCTCCCATCTCCTCGTCCTGTCTCCTCAAACTCATTTCCTTCCATAGAGCAACTGAAAACCGGTCCTCTAAGCCTGGTTTTCCAAGCGGAGCTGCTAGGCTCGCGCTGAGTATGAGAATTTACTGTTCGATTTGCCTCCGCGCTTCATTTTGCAACCTTGTGCATCTGACAGCCAGGCAGGCAGGCAGGCAGGGAGAGAGGCAGGCGAGGCTTGCCCGGCGCCCTCGGCCGCGGTTCGGAAAGGGAGCGCTCGGCTAAGCTAGGAGGAGGATCGCGACAAGAAGGGTACTCACCGTCGGGCAGGGTGGTGGAGCTGGCGTGCGGATTTCAGGCCAACGTTTACCTTTTTGCTGTCTACTGCAACCGCGCCGGGCTGCCTTTAAGAAGCAATTGTGTGCTCCGTCCGAAACGTTCAAGGAACGGTTCCTCATTTTTAAAAAGCCAGCGAGAGAGACGACAGAGACAGAGAGAAAGAAAAAAAGAGGAGGGGGTGAGAGGGACGCACATAAACCCAGTTCAAAAAAAAAAAAAAAAAATCATCACCTCTTCACCAGTGACTGGGGTTGCGCAGAGACGGCGAGATCTGAGTACAGTCCAAGCAAGCCAGAGCCAATTAATTTTAAATCCTGAGGAATTATTCAGATTAAAATGTACAGAAGTTTCATTCTCCTAGGTCTACGTGTGCCCAAAGTCGTTTCCCTTTAAGAGCTCCTTTTCTTTTAAAGTTGAATTTTAGGCAGCGAGGAGTCTTACACTAGGGGGCAGACAGATACTGTACTTGCTCCAATCTTAAGCAATTTTTTCCCTCCCGGCATATGCTCTGATTTAGCACTGTAAATTTTTCAGAGGACCCAACTCTGACAGCCCCTGGTGATTTTCAAAGTACCACAAGCCAGTGGTTAAAAATTGCATTGACTTGGAAGTTCAGAGGGGCACAATGGAAGCCCCTTTCCCTATTCATGGAGCTCCAGCGTGGTGGAAGAGAAAAACACACACGGACTAGATTGAGGGAGAGGAGGAATTCAATGAATCCTGGTGGACGGAACTGGTTTCTACCGAATTCAGAGTTAAGCTCAGCATGTCCTGGGGTCTGTGTTCACGTTGTGATTTAATCTGTAAAGAATCACAGACCATCCGGCCACTTTTTGCAAAAAATAAAAAAAAAAAAAATAAATCATATTCCTGGTTACTTTTTTTTTTAAGATTAAGACAATACCCCCCCTTCACCAGCCAAATTAAGGCTTGCCATTCCACTCATTAAAATAAATTTACATCTACAATAAAAGACTGGGTTGGATTTAAAAGAAAAACAATAAGCAGATATACAGTGATATTTATCTTTCAGTCTGAGAGCTTCTTAATCTTAAAGTTAGAGGAATTGAACATAGCTGAAGAAGACATTTTAAAATATTTTTCTCTGTTTTTCTTCTGCCCAGTCAGTTCTCCTGCCTTTCCTTGCATAGATAAAATTGACTTCAGCTTTTACAGTGATGTTTATCCCCCTCTAGGCAGCATTTCCATAAGTGAGGGAGTCCTAAAACACGGGGAAATGTTTCTGAATTTGAGGCAGCCCTGTGGTCTTGCACCTAGAAGTCTTTAACTCTATAGAAAAGACAGTTGGGAAATAGTTCCCATGCAATCAATGGCCTTGGCATTTCAACAATCTCTTGAAAAATTTTAAAATGGATGTTGTTCCTCAAAATCGTCCCTTCACAAGTGTGCAAAAGGTGATATTTGCTACGAACATCTCTGCACGCAAGAGGCAAGGTTAAGCTTTCCCTATAATCAATTCTTCTTCATTAAAGTGAGATGGGAATACCCCTTAGGTTTGCCTCTCTGATCCCCGGCCTCAGTATAGCTGAACTTGTCCCCAATCTCCTGACATCTGTAGCCCTAGGAAAGCCCTAGAATCCCAGAAGTTGAAAAGGGGAGAAAAAACCAAAACCCTCTTGGAGATGATTTCTTTTCCATTCTTCTGTTCTCTTTAGAAAGAAGTTATACTGTGTCTCTAATCAACCTGAAATTTTCAGCCTGGCTTCACTCTGTGGCAGTCTTATAGCAAGTCAGGTTTATGAAAGTTCAGTGCCTATTATAGGCTATTATTTCTTAAAACACTCAAGTCCAGCACCTGCAGCTTTAATGAAATGTATGATTTTGGTAGAGAAAGAGAGGGCTAGGAGGGCTGCAGTGATGAAGTTTAAAGAGGCTTTTTTTTTTCCCTTTCCTTAAGAACTAACCCCTATCTGCCCACTTAGCCTTTACTTTGTGTTCTGCCTATCTGTGTAAAAGGAAGTCAATGTAGACTGCAAGCTGCACGTGTCAATTATCTATGTGGTCTGTTTTTAAATACCTTTATCCAGTCAATTTTTGGAGCTGCTAAGTACATTTTTCTGCAGTCGTCAATCCACTCCTTATAGCGTTCCTATTTTTCCTGTGGAGCTCAGCATCTTTTGTGTAAAATATTACAATTGTTCATAAACCTTGTTGGCTTATGGGTTTACAGGTTTTCTCAGTGCAAAGTGTCCTTGATCGAAACACAATTCTCTTGTCTAAATGTGGAATAACTATAACCCACTAACTGGTTATAATCAAACAACAAGGTTACTGCAATGAAATACAGCATTGTGGGGAGGGGCTGCTCTCCACGTTTGATGTTTAAATCCAGCACCCTGGAATTCAAAGACACGGCCGTATCAGTGATGCTAGCATACTGAAAAGAATGGGCTAAGCTATGAAGTTGTTCTTTTTGCAATGGCTCTCGAGGGCAAATATGGCTGTGTGTGTTTCTGTGAGTTGTACAGGTATTATTTCCACGTTGGGGCCGAGTCCCTGGGTGTGTTTTAGTGACTATATGAATGCTCAAAAGGAACTTGAAGAACAATGAAGTCTGTGCTCAACTGTCCTATGACCCAGACGCACAGCTTCAGAAGTCTTTGTCTATGTACATAGACAAATGTGCATCTGATACATGTGTGTCTACACGTCTGCACAGAGGGTGTGCGGAAGGAGACCCAGTGAATGCCTCCACCTGTCCATCAACGGGCGGCATGGTCTTTTCCCTCTTATCAGGACAGGGTGTGTGGCAGGACCTTGACTTGCAAGTGAGCTCAAACCAACGAGAGAGGATAAAGTTGAGGAAAATTTATTTTAATTGCGTCATGACAATGAGATGAAATCTACTTCTGCTTCTCAGCATCAGAGATGCTTGATTCGAGCAATTAAAATGTCAGGCCCCAAACCTAGGAAATGTTAACCCTACAAGGAAATGCTAGACATCTAACGGCCCTTCTCGACATAAAATAAATACATAAAAATGACCACTCCAACCGAGCAAGTGTTCAGAGTTGATTAAGAGGAGGGCTTCCAATCACCCGGATTTGGCCAAATCTTTCGCTTGGAAAATGCCTGAAAGCTCGGCTCGAGGCACCTTCTCACTTCCCCACCCTACCCTCTGCAAAGAAACCGGGGAACTTTTCTCTTTCTTTGGCTTTGTGGGCTCCGAGACGCGCCCGGAGTCCCCGGGCGGGCGGAGCGCGAGCGGCGCCGGGTTCTGCGGTAGCGCCAAGTTGCGAGAGGCGAAGTCCTCGGTTCCCTCCGAGCCTCTCGCGGAGCCTTTAAGAGGCGTTGTGTGTGCGCGCCGCGCTCGTCTCCCCGCCGGGGCGGAAACCTCGGGTGCAGGGCGCGGGGAGAACCGGGGGCCGCGCTCCCGGGGCCGGCGCGGGCCCATCCCCCGCTCTGCGGCCGGGGCGGTGCAGACACCCGGTCCCCGCCCCCCTTCCGCGCCCCGCGCGCCCCGCGCGGCGATCGCAACGCCGCTCGCGCTAGGACCCGGCTACTCCCGCGGTCGCCATGGCGGGGCCGCCGCGCTCCGGCCAATGACGGCGAGGGGGCGGCGCGCGCGCGCCTGGCCAGGCCAACCCCGGCTGCTGCCTTATAAGGCGCGCCGTCGCCATGGCAACGTGCGCTAAGTTGCAGCAGTCGTGTCAAAGTTCACTATATAGAGAGCTCAGTGAGCTGATCGCGGAGAAGCCACTTCTGCCAGCCCTGGCGCCTATAAATCGCATTCCCTCCCGCGCCCCCCTTTTTAGCATATTTGATCACTTTGATTCTCTGTTCTTTTCTCTCCGCGGTGTGTGTGTGCGTGCGCGCGTGTGTGTTTTCTTCTCCTCCTCCTCCTCTCTCCGAGTTGCCTCCTTTCTCCGGGTGCTGTGCTGCCTTTTTTCCCCCTCTTTCATTCTTCCTCTCCATCTTTCTCTCCCCCCTCTGCGCACGGAGGATGTGCTTCTAGGTGGTGATCTGCCCTCCTTTCTCTCTTTTATCATTTCTCCCCCGCCGCCGGCGAGTTGACTCTTTCCCTATGTGTGTGAGGCGGCGGCGGCAGCAGCAGAAGCAGCGGCTCCGGCGGCGACAGCAGCGACTTCACCGGCGGCGGCGGCGCTAGACGCGGCGGCTCCGGGCCCAACCCGGCGGCTTCAGCGGCGGCTCCGGCGGC